CAAAGCAGCCACTGAGCCCAGCTCCCCTCTCACCCAGCCACCCCACTCTTTTATAGCATCTTCCTCTCATGGGTTACAGCTGTGGCCTGTTAAAGTCAGGCCTGCTCCTGATCTTTGCTAATTGGCCCAGCTGCAACTCCTTAGGGGTAAGATTACTTTCTACACTATCTTTATTTTCTTATATTCTATCCCCCTACAAACCATCACAAACTGGAAAAGATTTCTTGGACGTTACACCATTCACTACAGGAGTAAAAATTACTTCCCCGTCCTCTGCTACAGAACTAAAATGTATAAACAACTGAAGGAAACTACAGGTGCTCCAGAATGAGTGATCACCTATGTGAGCCTTCAGAAGGGCAAGTTCTTTTAAAGAATGAGTCATTCCCTGTGGAGTAACTTAATTTCTATTGACACTTACAGGAGAAATTAGCTTGAAAGTGATTTTGTCTGTCTAAGAACAACTTTGTTTTTTTTACTGGATGCCTAATACTCATAGAAATCTGCCCTGCTCCATAAGGGAAGGGCAGAGCACTGTACTGAAGCCAGGAAACTTCATCTTTGCAGGCAATGTAGACTTCAGTGTATCTTAAATTATTAGAACCAAAAATAACATGTAACAAGTGTAAGGCCATCTCCTACTCTCATAATACACTACTGCCTCCAACAGTCTAGCTGTAGAGATCCATTACAACTCATTGCCTGGACATTTCCCTAACAGCCTATATTCTCTTTAAAATATTCTAACTTTAGCCAAGCTGAATATTAATGACCACGTGGAACCCAATGGAAGTGAAAAACTGAAAATTGCTACATAAGAGTTTTCTGCTTTATAGTAAGAAGGAGGGAGGACGAAATCAATACGGCAAAACAACCTTTTAAGCCAAAGACACCATTTTAAAGCTGAAATTTTTTCTAATACCACTGACAGCCTCAACTTGTCATCAGCAGGCTTACATACACTTGGAGTGAAGATGTGAATTGAGTGTAAGGAAAACATACAATATCTGAGCAGGAGGTCTATCCGTGGTGGTTCTATATTGATGTTTTGCTTACTGTGTTTTCCCATAAAACACACCTAAATGGATCAAGAGGGCTTGTGCTGCTTCTCCTACAACAGACACTTGACAGGAACAAACACAAACCAACATAAACTCTTCAGCAATATTCTCGCTGCTTTGCTGTAATACAGGATAGAATTTCACAAAAATTGGTCTAACTAGGAGTGAACAAATTAGCCAATTGCAGAGTGGTCAAATTTGCTACCACAGGCATTAACTGCAGTCCTACTTATTTATGAGAAACAGGCTTCCCAGGTAAAGCCATAACAAGCCAAGCTCACACCTCCTGCAGCATTTGATCACCCACGTTGTTAGAGCAGCACAGCAGGCACCACGAGTTCCTGGCCAGCCACTGCCTCCATTTCTCATCGTCACATTATCTTCTGTGGGACTGCAAAAAGGCTGGCTCCCTGTTGTTCTGAAACCCGTCAACAACACTGGGGAAGGCAAAAGGAATTCCAACTCTTTTTCCTTTCCCAGATCTATTTTTCTTCCTTTTCAGGAGAGAAACCCCAAGCTGCTAGTAGAAACATGAAATTGCTAAAAACCAGCCAACATTGTCTCCAACTATAGTATCAGTGACGTAACTGCCATCCATGAGGGTTTGGGGTGCTGGTTTGGTTCTGCTTTTGCCTTTTTTTTTCCCCCCCAACAGAAAACCTTTGGAGCCCATAAAAGTGGAAGAGATCTGGGGCAAAGGGCAAGCAACTCCCAAGAAAAGTTATGAATGGAACTATGCTACAGAGAGCCTTGCCTTTCCACTCCTTGTACAGGAGAAATCATTCAGATGTTGCAAAAACTGATCCATTATCTTTTGTGGGTTTCTTAAAATAATCTAAAAACAGAATTGTACGCCATACTAAGATTGCAGATTTATTTCATCCCAGAGAGTACAAAACATTCTCTGTACATATACACAGCAACTGACTTCTTTCCTGAAACAAAGTTTTCATTGATCCTTTGCCACAGACTCAATTATTGTTTCTAATCATGATCAACGTTTATTTAAGGTATTGTGAACTGTAAACAATGCAAACAATAAAAGCATCTGTCCACATTGACATGAATGTAATTGGCAGGTTAGATACCTATATCAACTGGTCCCAAAGATGTTCTTCTTAAATTCAGAAAGCCCAAAGTAAATTTAAAATACAATTTACAGAATAATCTTGAAATCAGCCACTTTTCAAGGTAGTGTTATCTTGTGTAGATAAAACTCACAATCTGTCAATTCAATCCCAGGAAATTCTTCATTGTTTTAAAATATAATCCTAAAGATTTTTTTTAAAGCTTCTTTCTTTTTTTAATATGGTGGATTATGCAAAATTCCTGGTCCTCCTTGCAACCATGGGGAAAAATAATCTTCCTCTTGTAATGCAGCAATTATAGATACATATGTAAAAAGAGCAAAAATCAAGGCACTTTGAAACAACACTTAAAAAGATAAAAAAAATACTTGACTGTGGGATATTCAGGGGATTTCAAGTCAGCTTTTCCATAGCCTCACTGTAAAAATAAGCGACCTTTTCCTTCTCCTCTTCCCCACCCCAAACTCTGAGGAAACCGGCCACCAAATGCACTCGGCTAGCCTCAAAGTCACACGTGCTCCACTGCAGATCTTGCTTTCAATGTCTCTTTTGTTTGATGGCTGGTGTTTCAACATCCTCAGCTTGGAACAGAGAAAGGTCAGAGCGAGTCTTCTGGCATTCACAAACCTGCACCAGGCCCCGCCAAGAGAAGATTGATGCCATAGTACATTTTCCCTAGTCAAGAGAAGGAAGTGGAGCTCTGAATCCACGACCAACCATGTTCGTCAGAGGGATTTGTTTCCCAAAGGTGTTTAGCTTTGCTACATTCCTTTGTGAAACTTTTCTGCTGGTGCTAGTAATATTTTTGAGTTACCCACTGTACCATGTTACAGCCCCAGTATCGTAACCTGAACAGGTTCCCACCAGTAAATCGTTTTAGCCATACATTCCAGCATACAGCCTTTTTTTTTAATTCCCCTCCAGATTTTGCTTCACCCCTACATTGCCCTCCCACCTGCTGCCCTCACCCTTCCTCCCTTGTGTGGGGAGGAGAGGCTGCATTAAACTTCCAGTGTGCAAGGCCAAGGTCCGTTTCACAGCCAGAGAGAAGCTGTTGCTAAAGATTCCTTAAAAGCTTTGGCACTTCACGGCAGTTGGAACTACTCAACCAGAGCTGGGAGCCAAAGCTTTGCCACAGCATTAATGGGCTTTTGCCCTTTTAAATTTTATAAGCCTGTCGCCTTTCTGATGCGCGCAGTTTTATTCAGAGCCCTAAATGGCCATTTCATATTTAAAAGAAAGCTTGCATAGGTAGCACCCTAAAACTACCCCAGGTCATTCATCACCCCAGCACTCCTACTGTCTCTTAGGAAACCTTTGATAGAGCATTTGTTCAGGCTGCCAAGTTAAATCCTCTTCTCTCGTGTCAATGCATTGAAAAAAGCAGTCAGAACACCAGCTTCACTCAGGCCTGCTGAAGTAAATGGAGAAAACCAATTCCTCTGGCACTACAGAGCCATTAAGCCGTTTGCAGATTATTAACTGAAGCACAAAAATACACACGGCGCACAATCGGACGACAGAGCAGAGCTATGCCTTGAGTTTGCTTGGCTCTCGATAAACTGACGATACAGCCGCAATTTGCACCGAGTCGTGCAGCTGCCGGGCTGGCGAGCGGGACCCCGGCAGCCCCAGACAAAAGCGGCGATGCGGGGTCCCGCTGCCACGGCCGGGCAGCTTCCACCTTCAGCAGGGACGGCGGCGGGGGCTGCGCTCCAAGGGGCACCCCCGAGGCGCCGCCCCGCGTCTCTCATCGCAGCCTCCGAGGCGGCACCGAAATTAAACTTTGCACGTGCAAAACAAAGTTTACAGTCTAAAACCCCGATTATAGTAACAACTTCCTCCCCCTATCTCAGGCTGCCGTGCTCCTTCCCCGCTACCGCGCCAGCCCAGAATGCTATCCCGACCTCCGCGGGGGGGGGGGTGGGGGGGACAAGAGCGTGGCTGGATGGCTCCTATTTTTATGTTTACATTCCTGAAGTGTCTTTTAACTGGCTGCCATTCTCCCTCTCCCCGCGAGCAGCTCCGCCGGCCGCCCCTGGAAGCGCTTCCCCCGCTCCCCTCGCACAAAGGCGGGCGAGCTCCGGCCGGGTCGGGCCGGGCAGGGCACCCCCGGCCCGGTGCCCCCGCGCCCCCTCCCCTCTGCCCGGCGGCTTCCTGGACAGATGCACGGGGGGAGGGAGGGGAAGAGAGAGGGAGGGAGGGGGGCTGCTCCTTCCTCCTGCCTGGCGAGAGAGGCCCAGGTCCCAACTGGCTCTCAAAACCCAGACGCAAGGAATTTACACCCAGGCAAGCTTCCCGGAGCCCCGAGAACGGGCGCAAGCTCCCCCCCGCGTCTCTCGAGCCCCGCACGGCCGGCCGGGCACGCACGCCCCGAGCCGCAGCCCCGGCCCCGCTGCGGGGCTCCTGCCCGCCCCGACGGCGCTCGCCCCGGCCGGGGGCAGCCGCCGCCCCGGTCCCCGCAGCCCCCTTTGTGCTTGCGGCGGCTCCGGCGCCCGCCCGCCTCCCGCCGCAGCTGCTCCAAGTTCGCCCCGGGCCGGGTCCCCCCGCGACCCCGCGGCCGGCCCGGGAAGGGCATTGCCCGGGAGAGCCGCTTCCCCGCCGCCGGGCCCGGCTCCGCCGCTGCTCGCTCGCCCCGCGCCCTCGGCGGGGACAGTCTGCCCCTTTAAGAAGTCTCCACACATTTTCTCCCCTTGCAGAATAAATATGTTGTTTTCTTTTTTTTTTCCTCCCTGTACACCTTTTTCCCCAGCGTGGCCGCTCCATTGTTTCTGCTCCGCCGAGACGCAACCCCTGCCCGGCCGCGAACGGGGAGGTGCGAGCAGGGAGCGCAAATAGACGCGAAACTTACCTACGGATTGCAAAGCAGCTTTGCAGCAGCAAAATAATAAGGAAGAAGGCAGGCAAAATCCTCTTTCCCAACTGATTTGCAGCTCTACTCGGGTATTTTTAAATATATAATTTTGTTTATTCCCCTCCTTTCTTCCTTCTCCCCCTGCTTTCTTTTTTCTTCTTTCCCCCCCCCCCTTTTTTTCCCCTTGCCCACAGACAGTGAAAAGGAGCTCAATGTTAGTGGGTGAGTAAGTGAATCAACTAGCAGAGAGCACAGCAAGTTGAAGTGTCAAATTACATTGGCTATTCTATTACCAAAGGGCCATGCTTTGTGGCTGCTGGCAAAATCTGTCCCAGATTCCTATCTGAAAGGGAGCTGCCTCCTACAGGGATGTTCTTCCCTTCGCCCTCTCCCTTCCCCTCTCCCCCCGCAACACACACCCCCCCCCCCCCCCCAATCACACCATGTTAAAAATCTTAGATACGAGTTAAAATACAAATATTGTCTTACAGTGTCTTTTAAGGCGGGGACTCTCGTTTTAGTCGTCCTGAATACCAAGCACTCGGAAACCCTTCCACTCTGGAAACTGAAAGCTGGAGAATATGTATACTCCCTTCGGTGTTTTTGTATTATTAAATAGGGGAAAACCACCCTGGACCAAACACACTCTCAAGCATGAGGTGTCTCCGTCTCTGTCGTCTTCACGAGAGAATTTTTACGGGCATGGAAGGAACTACCGGGCGGGCAGGGGGATTACACGGGAACGCCGAGACATCCTGCTGCTCCGTTATTGCACTTTAGCCCCCCACCCCCTTCCATTTATCGCCACCACCCCCACGCTCGGGGCCGCTGTTATTTTCAGAGCCCGGAGCTCCCGCCACCCAGGTAGGAGCGGGGTTCTCCCGGGGGTCCCCGCTCAGCCGGGGAAGCCGTGCGGGCGGCGGTGCCTGGCGGGGCGGGCCCGGGAGGCGGCCCCGCCGCGGGGGGGGGGGGGGGCGGTCAGGGCCCGGGGCCCCCCCGCTCCCCGGAGCGCGGCCCCCGGCGCTAACAATAGGGCGTGTTTTGTGCTGTTTTCTTCCCCTGCGCTCCTTAGGAAATCCAGCCCGATTTCCAGGGAGAAAATAAGAAGGAACCATCCTTGTCTGACGAGCCCCAATCTGCTAAAAAACATCTCCCTCGACTTCTCTTCCCCTTGATAAAACACTTCCAGGACAATCAATATTTTATGATGAGCTGTTAATAAGCCTAATATATTCATCCCTGCTCCAACGGGGCTTGTTAGATTATGCAATTAAGATAAGCAATTTAAACAGCACTGTGTAGCTTCTCGCTGGTCACATTCGTCTTGTTGTTGGAGGAGGAGAACGATCGGGACTGTAAAGGGATGTCGGATCGCTCGGGGAAGGGAGAAGATTGTCTAATTTTTTCATATTTTTTTCAGCTGCGTGCAGGCGGAACGGAGCGCTCCTGCCGCTGTCCGCGCCGCTCCCCCCGCGGGGCTGCCCCGGTCCCCGCCGCTGGCCGCGCCGATCTGCACGGGGCTACGCCAACCCCGAGGACAGTGCCCCCGGCGCGGCCCCCGCCCCGTTCATTTACGCCTTCGTGGCTTGCCCAGAAAAAAGACCCCTCTTCCTGCCCTTCTCCCTGTGCCTCCGGCCGCCCCCCGAGCGCCTCGGGGCGCGGGGGTCCCTGCGGACGCTGCGCCCGCCCCCAGCGCGGAGCCAGAGCGGCGGCCACCCGGCCCGGCAGCGCCGCGGGGGGAGCCCCGGGCGGGCAGAGCCCCGGCGGGGACGGGCAGCCGGTGGCGGGCGGCGCGTCCCGCCGCTCCGGCGCGCTCCGGCTCCGCGTTTTGCGAGCGGCCGCGGTGTCAGCCGGGGAGCGCCGAATAACAAAGGCAAGTTTGAGAGCAGCCGCCGCCGCCGCCGCCGCACAGGCTGCGGTGACGTCAGGGAACAATGCCGCTGCCAGCCCGCCCGCCCGCCGCCCCTTAAAGGCGCACGGGGCTCTGCCGGGGGCCCCGCCGCCGGCCCGGGGGATGGAAGGGACGGGGTGCTTGTGCTGGGCCCCCCGCCCTGCAGCCCCCGGCCGCCGCCGGGTCCCTCCGGCATTACCCGCCCGGACTGGGAGCGGAGCAGATTCTCCGTCTCACGGCTCCTTCCCTCCCTCCCTCCCTCCCTGTGCCCCGCGCGGCCTCCGCCGCCCTAATCGCTGCTTTCAGCTGCCCGGAAGAACCGGCGGCCGCCGGGGCGGGAGTGCTCGGGCCCCGCCGGGCCGGGCCGGTCCGAGCTCCCCGCGGCGCTGCGGGGCTGGGCGGGCCGCGCTCCGGGCAGCGCGGCCTAAGGCCCACTGCTCTGGCCGCACGTACGAGCCCCGGGACCCGCCAGGGAAGGGTTTTCGCCAAAGTCCGGCACCTCGAGGGCCAGAACCTGAGCGCTTCCAGCCACTTCGGCTTCTGCTCCCGCAGTGACCCTCGCTGCCCCTGTCACGGTGCGCTGTCCTCCTCCCCGAGCCACACCGGCCCCGTGACTGTAACCTGTTGTCCCCAGGCTTAAGCAGTCAGTGCAGCCCATTTCACTCCTGCACAGCATTAGATGTCTCATCAAAACAGGCACAGAAAAAGCCCAGCCTTTTAGGTAACCAAAAAGGGCATTGTAGCAATACGGTAATCTCCTGATCATCACGCACATCAGGGCATCGTGCCTTAAGAATTCATTTGCAATTAATACCTTTTTAAGGCATCAAATTTAATATCTTTTTAAGGTGTCAAAACTTCTGTCTTGGGCATGGGCAAAGTCAAAGTAGTAGGTTTTGGTGCTTTATTGCTTGAAACCGTCTTAGAGAAATAGAATATTAGAAAATTAAATCTTTGTGCAGCAGCACCGTTACAAGGTTACAGGGCCTGTCCATTATATTTAAGCACATGCCACTGATACCATCCAGGCTGAAAACAAATTGGTAAACACACATTTACTTGTTCAAGCTTTTTGTAGTTTTCCTGCAGACTATGTTCCACATGAGCACAGCATGCACGATTGACCAGCTGCATCACCCTGCCTTCTTTCAGTAACCAAGTGGCCTGATCAATACAGTATGTGGCCAGGAAAATAAAGGTCTTGCAAGAAATCATTGTAGTGATTTAGCAGGTGCCTTTGTGCCCTCTGAACCTGCCTCTGCTAAACTGGGCTTTGCCACATACTGTTCAGAGGCACCAAAGGGGTTGGAAGTGCTACCTGTTCACAGGGGATGTGCAACCCTAGCAGCCTTTGCCACTTGCAGTCACTGGAGCTCAGCCACCCTTGCAGTGACAGCACATGTTAAGTGGTGTCACAGCCAGATCCCAACTGCTACACCTGCCCACACAGGGCTCTTCACTTCTACCGTAGCAGGAGACATTTCCCGTTTCCTCCATAGGATGTGATGGTCACCCATGAAGTTTTGCCAAAAGTGGTTGCAGCAGTCAGTTTATCTACTGTATTTTTGTCAGTTTGTTTGTAAATTAAATTAATTCCGTGAGGATTAGGACAACCGTAGTTTTCTCTGACCTGTGCTGATAGCATTCGTGAATTGAGAAAAGTGCCACTAATGCATGTTGATGTGCTTTTTTTCAGCCAGGGACCAGGCTAATCCACTACAAAGAACTTTTATAGCTGCTCCAATTCACTGCCAATTGCCTGCTGTGGCATAAAGGGTGGACTGGTCAGTTGGACTGAAAAAAAGAGTTAGGAGGTTACATGTGTGGCAGGGTCGCTTAGGGTATTCAGTGCTGCCCCAAGAACACCCCTCTAAACAAAGTCCTCAATTAGGCCAATCAGGCTAATTATCCAACTCAGTTGCAATGTCAGAGCAAAGCAAAAACAGTATTCACAAAGTGACAAAGGATTGGGCCCTTTTTGTTTGTTCTAAGAGACCAGGCTGCTCTTCATGTTCTTGACAATTCTGAGACCAAGAGATCTTGGAACAGCTTTTGAAACAGAGGCTGCACAAGCCTCAGTGTCTGATCTGGGATCCTGGCTAAACAGCATTCTGCTGCTGCAGTAGCAAAGCCATCAGCAAGCATGCAGACAGACAGTTATCCACATTATTCCGTGCTCTGTGGTGGGCCTGTCCACAAGGGATTAGACCAAATCTGCTAACCTCATTTCTGTTATATAACCTAAGACAGATCTGAACTCTTTTCTCCAGAGGATTGTATGGTAAACCAGAATATCACCTCCCCCTAGCCCTCTTCAGCTGCAGTTCAAATTAGGTTTTGCTGCTGTCATAATTCATCCTGTACCATAATGAAAATGGAATTGATTGGGATGGCATGTAGACATTGTGTCTAGACATACCCAGGTTACTTGTGTATACAAATTTTATCAGGTAACTGCTATCAATGCAGCTCTTTTTGGAGCATAGGGTTTAGCACAGACCACAGAGGCCAAAAGTGGAGAGTGCATGCTTAGATCCCAAGTCCACACTGAGCTATTGAGTGCTACAGCCACTGGTAACTGGGCTCCCTAGGTTAACAGCTCACTCAAGCCAGCCCCACAAGGCCTGCAGGTGTACAATATACACCAAAAACTGCCTGGGATCAGTGCTGATCTCAAAACAAACTGACATCAGCATTGCTTTTGTGGTGGCTGTTTGCTACACTCACATCCCTGGCACCACACCAGCTCATGCTCCCCAGGTACACACATTTAGAAGTCTTCTGAACGCATGGAACTATTAATCCATCAGCACAAGTCTCTGATCTGCTCCTCTGTCATAACCCATGGGTTTAGCTTGAGCAAATTCTTACTCTGATCAATAGTTGGGTTGAAGTTTAGCAAGTCTTTTTCTGATATAGCAACAGCAAAGGATGCCAGGAATACTACTGGATGCAGTAAAATTACACCTACGTGAAAGTGAGATTAACTTTCAGTGAGGCTGCAGTCAGGCTATACACATTACTCCACACACATGAGAAACTGATATTATGCCCATTTTTGTCTTTTTGTTAATAGTACGGGAAGGAAAACAGGGTTTATTTGGATTCATAAATTAGAGATGAAATTACTATGCAAAGACATTAAGGAAATTTGCAGTTATGCAACTGGAGTCCTAGAGGAAAAAGTAAACAACTTTACTGAGAAAAACAAGT